TGTCACACTAATTTAATAAACCCGAGAACTAAGAAGGAAGCCAAGGAAACTGTAAGGGAAGATGTCAGGGTTCATTTGTTTAAAATCTCTACTTTGTAAATACCTTCAGTTTCTTAGACTTGCCTCTGCACATTGTCACTTCTAAAAGAGAATCACAGAAGTTCTCAGCGGGCAAGGACAGCAGAACTTCAAAATTAATAACTCCTGACCCTAAATTTTGGATGCCAATTGTTTGCACAGGGGGAGAATTTCCAGTCTTAACAATGCAACCAACAGAGTGAGCAGCCCTCTTAACAGAGCAAATTTCAGCATTTTAGTTTATTTTCCACAGCTGCTAACACTCCATAGGAAGATTATTTAATCCTCAGCACCAACAGAGTCAAGGCAGAAGAACAGAGATTTTTTTAATGCTGCTTATGCCAGGCACAAAAAATGCATACAGAACATCTGCTGCATTTAACTCCTCACAACCATCACAATTCAATTTGACCTAGATGACTCCAGTGACTTCAGTGTGACTGCGTTTACCATCCACAAAAAGAAATTTAAAAAATAATAAAAAAGAGAAAAAGTGGTAACATCAAGTTCCCAATACACACAAAGCCAGATAGGTGAGTATTAAAGGCAAAGCACAGGATGATTGGTATGAAATCCTCGGTGCTAACTTGATGTGCTTGATTTAAGCCTTTACAGACACCCAGGCAGAGTGCAGGATCAGAGAGATGCTAGAGTTCATCACTAGACCTGGAGAAATTCGGAGCTTTCTACAGCTTCTACTTCATTCTGGACACAACAGTGTTTTGCAAAATCCCTCCCAATCACTAGGGCTGGATCAGTGGTACAGGATTCAGTCACTAGGGAACTTCAGGGATCTAAGGAATAGAAATTTGACAACTCATTTTACAGCCTATACTAACCAAGCAACCTTCTCGGACCAGTTAACAAAATAATATTCCTGATTTGGTTTTGATATGCAGATATATTTATATACCTACATACACACACACAATCATATTTACATAAAGACCCCAAGGAATAAAAGGGAAAACTAGAATCTTATCAAGTAAATGTGAAGGTGGCCTATATATGACCTAAGCTCACCAAACCTTCAGAGGGTCTTAAAGGACAGCTGGGCCACCCTCCCTTTGACACACTTGAACCCTTTACGTCTGAAAGCACGTGAAAGATCAGATCAGAATAAGCATCTCAAGATCATACCGAAAACTTGCATCATAGGCTCCTTCATCCCATTAGCACGGACATGCAGAGAGCACCAAAAAATAATCTTGCATCATCAGAAAGTCCTGTACTCTATTTAACCAGTCCCTAACTGTGGCATGCTTTAAGGTTGTGCTTTCAAATAACAGAAATATATGTGCTCTTATCAAAAATCTCATTAAAAAATAAGCAATTACTATTGATTCTACTAATACTGTCTGGAACCCAAATATCAGCATCAACTGTTTCTATCATTTTTTTTATTATTATATTTTCTAACAATAAAAGTCACTTTAACACCTTAAGACTGCATTTAAATTAAAACAAACAAACGAAAACCCCAACACCACTTTGGAAAGAAAGGGGATTATCACAGTAACTCTGAATTTCCTTCTCAGCGCCAGTTAAAATGTACAGATATTTGTATTCTATCCTTGTAACCTGCATGAACAGTGTTGGACATGTCTATAATTCTGCATGAGCAACATGAATAATCATATATACCTCTGGTCTCAGGTGTGCAGTAAAATCCAGTGTTACAGAAGTGCATTCAGTCAGTTAACCATTATGAGCATTTTTAATTATCTTTAAATCAACAATTATTCCTATAAGGTTCTCCAAACAATTTTCTAATAAAAAACTAATTTACTACTCACAAATTAATTAGTATGAGATAAAATTAGTTGCATCTTTTTAAATGAGATTTTGCAACCAAGGTCAAGGGCAGTAAACATCTACTTCAAGTTGTAAAAGCCATTGGTTTTGGATTATGAAGTATTCTCTTTTTTTTTTTTGCCTCAAAGAAATGAAGAATTGCTTCCATTGTGTCATAGAAGAACAGACTTAAGGGAAATACAGCACTTCAGACTTCAGTGGATAATCAAATGAAAATCACTCACAGATGACGTTTTGGACAGGAGTTTGTTCAATTAAGGAAAGACAAGTTTTTACACAAACCTAATCATGGCAATAAATTTTCAGAATCTATAGTACTGTTTGGAAGTATGTGTGCCAGAGCTAGGAAATGGCTTGACTGCTTATATTCCTCAGCAACCTACAAGCCAAATGGAGGCCTCTAACATTTAAGACTAAGGCAAATACTGTCATACCACTCCAATAGTGCCACCTGCTGTGTATTTTAAAAGCATACAGTGGTCTGTAGATCCAAGAGCTCAATTTAAAGACTGAATGATTGACTGATTTAAACAGAGGTCATAATTTTGTGTGTATGTATGACAATGTAAAAATTCATTTTTTTTAATTAGTAATATTTAAACAGGCTAGGGATACAAAGGAAGTTGTTCCACTATCGTATAAGAACAGAACCCATGGGTAATCCATTTTCAGGTTTATTCAGTGGCATAACAGGGAGTAGTTACACCAGCTCACCACACATCAAAACCACAACTAACCCTATGTACTTTGTGATATCATGTAGATTAGACCTGCAACTCATTTTAAGAATCATACCTGGTTGCAAATTATTCACAAAACACACACATGTATGCGTGTCTGTATATACACACACATGCCTTGATAGCAAAGTATACACACACAAACATATATATATATACACACACCCCTCTTGAGACTGGATCAAGATGCCCTTTTCACAGGCTTTCCATGAAAAGGAAATAAATTGCAATATATGTGAGATTGGCTCAGCAAAACAAAAGCTAATCCTGTTCCTGGTTCCACCGCTCTGCTGTACCATCTGGTCTCATTCACTTCATTTCACTGGGCATCTGGTTTCTTTTCCCAGTTTCTGGTTTTGCTGCTTACCCATGCAACTGTTTGGGAAGAGACTGCCTTGTATAATCTATTTACATAATTAAGTGTGATGGCTTTTCCATGATCCTGAGGGAATGGTACAAATAATTAATAATAATAATGATGATAATTTCTGATCACATACAAACTCATTATACTTTAAATGCTCTTCTAATGAGAAGTTAAGTGTACATCTTTTAAAATAGAGCCTACATTTCATGTTCAGGGATGCTATCCTGGTAATTCTTTCTGCAACACATAGGTTGCATGAGTCACTTTCACAAGAGGTCAGTGAGTCGAATAGTGTGACTGGAATTTTAAAAAGGTTTGGTAACTTTTATGACCATTAATGTTTGTATTGAATGCCAGCTCAAACTGTAATGAGGTTAATTAAATCTCCTGCCCCAACGTATAAACCAACTGCCTGAAGGTCCAAATGAGGACTCCATGTGCCAACAACTCCGAACACTGAACAAACAAAGCAACTGAGGTACTCCTTTCTGTAGAGCACTCAGTGTTTGTCACCACTGAAGGGAGACTATCAAAACAGATTTACCAAAGCCACGATACATCAGAACAACTCTAACATGACACACACTTTTTCCAGGGTCAAGAGAGAAGCTAACTTGAAGAGTATCAACAGTATCTGACAAAGTATTGTGTTTACTGTTCTTTCCCTGGCTAAGGCAGAAAAAGACTCCAGTCGAGGTAGACAACACAATTTGCAAGACACAAGCATACTGGGAAGGAAAAAGCAGTTATTAGTAAGTGAATTACAGCAGATTTACATGTGAGCCTGCTAAGCCTTACCAGAACTCTGTGCACTGCATAACTTGAGTCTTGTCACCTGTGCATGCTCAACTTCCAAAGGGATTCCCAAGATCTGCAGGAGTTGAGCCTGATTCAGTAAATCATTTGTGATGCAAATCATCACCTAATTCCTGACAGTTACTGGAAAAATACAGCACACCAGCGTTCTTTCCATACGCTGCCTTTTCACATTTTTTATGCAGTGTTTTTTTACTGCAAGAAACCTAGCAGATGCACAATTATATTAAAACTACCATTTAAGTGCATTATTTTTTCACACATTACTCTCTTGGGCCGTTGTAGCAGTATCAGATGCACCTACTTCAGGGACAGAAATCTGCAATTTGTAGTTGAGACACACAGTCTCATAATTTACCTGATATGATCAAAAGCCATGTATTTTTTAAATTTTTGCCTCATTATTAAATAATACTATTACAAGTATGGCAAGTTTTAAAATGTGGCTTACCATGCATTTGAAGAATTTGTTCAGCTCTCAGTAACAAACTGGTTACTTCTACAGTTTATTTCGTTTTATAGGAAGGCAGAAAACCTGAATGAGTCAGTCAGGCATGCCTCTCTCCAGCCTCCCAATTCCAACTGTTGTTGGCACATACTGTTTTGACTCTGCACCCAGGCCTGAATACTTTTAACACATTCTTAAAAGAGAGCAGTAAACACAAAATTATTCAGGTATAACAAATCCTCCCCTCCTACCACACTGCCCCAAGAAGTAGCAGCAAGAATGAACCTGGATGAAAGGAAGGGAAAGCGGAGGGGAAAAGACACAAAATACATGGAAAGAAAACTGAAGAAAGATTTCCCTGGTGGAACTACTGTCTTGGGGAGGTCACCATGACAGCATCCCTCTAAGAATTAACATTACTACATAAACCAGTATTACCCAGCCCTTTGTGCACCTGACTGTGTTCAATGAGGTTTTGTATTTCACTGTTTTTCTTGGCAAAGTTTCATATGCTCACAACCTTAAGTCAACATTAAATCCAACTATCCAGTTATAGTCATGAGCTCTGTATGCAGTAGCTCCAGATGCACCACATGAAAACAAGCTGACTGAAATCCACAACTTCAGAGTAGACCACGCAACTTCTGAAAGAAGTCGCTGCACTTGGAAGAAAGTTACTTCTTCATTTAGGAAGATTTCACATGCTTTATACTTGATTTGCTTTTTTGCCAACACAATGAAGGAAATGTCCTGCTTCTGCATGACTTTCTCTTCCTTGTTGGAACAGATGGTGAAGGCTTACAAATACATGACTGGTATTTTTTCAGTGACTCATACCTCAGAGCAACAGGCTTCAGATCGTGATAAGCAGCCAACCAAGATGGATGTAAGCTTACTCGAGGAGCAGTATGACCATACAAAACAGAAGCAAAAACTGCAATCACACATTATTGTATTTAAAACAGGTATGCTTATATTTATAGAAAAAAATGCAAATATAAAGACTATTTCTTTGAATGTTGAATAACTCCTAACTTTGTTCTTTGTATGCTCATCTTCAAGAAAGGTACAAAGTGAATTATTTTTCTGACATTTGAGGGTTTTATTAATTTATCTGAATGGTGGTCTTATGTTTCTATCTATTAGCTTCATGGCAGTGAAACACTGACATGAATTTGAAACAGATGAAAATATTTGAGATAAGGTTTTACAGGTTTTATGTCAGTAATTTAAAATTCTAAACATAAATGGTAACTCTTACAGGAGCCACGTACTTCATGTCTATCATCAGTGTATTGGTGCAATGTATTCTGTCACATTTCTGCTCTCTTGAATGCTTCCATCTGAACAGGCTATTCTGGGTCTCTTTTCCCCTTTTTATATGTGTAAAGAAATACGTCCTACAAGACTACAGGAAACAATAGCAAGTATCAAGTGACTGGCACAAGTTGGGTTTGTGTTAAAAAATATCTTATACTAAGAGTCATACTGGGTAACTAAGATACAAGCTTTGAACAAGAGGTTCTGTTTTGAAAGTATTTTTCCTGCATATTGCTTGGAAAAAACAAATGGAAAAACAAGTAACAATATGTATCAGTCATCTACCTGCTATGTCAGACAGATTTTACATAAGAAACTTTAAAATGTTTTAAAGTTTTTAGTTAGACTACTATTTACAATATTACACTGATATATTTTCATTTATTTTCCAAGTTAACATGATATTGAGAAAACTAAGTCAATAAATGAAGTTGTCTTCTGAATTTAATCCAGTATGAAAAACATGCTTCATTCACCTCTTATGTTAGTGTTTAGCTCAACATATGCAGAACTTCAGTTACTTAATTCTTTACATTTTCCTGTACATTTTTCAACAGTTCTAGATTTTGGCTGTGTCAGACTATATCATCAAATCAATTGAAAAAACACATAATTATGAACTAGACAACAGATTTGCTTTTTCAATATTCTTTTATTCAACTACCTAGAAAATCTTATATTAAGAGAACTCGAAGCTCTGTGATGAAGAAAAAAATATACACACAAGCTTATTTTATCAGGCATGAAAAGGCAACTAACTTGAAGACAAAACAGCCTGTCTAATCAGCTATAGCAAAAATGTCAGTCAGTTAAAGAAAGAACCCGTCTGTCTTTAGATTAAACTCAATGAAGCTTCAGATGTTATGCATGTAAGCAGAGCAGATTTTTTGCAAGGACACCATTTGAAGATTAAAGAAAAGTTGTAAGAAAGTAGGACTGCACCGTTTCTGAGAAGTTGAAAATTTAGTAGGGCTGGAAGATCACATACAAGTATTTTCACACACATACACATAACCAAAAACATTCACAAAACCACATAACCTACTGCACTGAACTTCTATCTTTAAACAACCTGTTTAAAGGATTCATATTACTGTGTTACTGTTAGAAGCAATTGAAGTTTGGGGTTTTTTTGTTATGCCGTGGTCTCAATGTCTTGAAAGTTGATCTTATACATTTCTATGGTTTGGAAGCTGGGAAAATCTCTTACATAGCTGAGCACTTTGAACCTGTTGTATGCATCAGTTTCCAAAGACATGTCAAACAGAAATGAACACTGCCATATTGGGATAGCCTACAGCCCTATATATACTCCTTAAATTAGGAGCTTAAACTATCCAGAACTTCTAGCTAATATCAAAAGGCAGTCCACATATGTATCAGCATTTTGTACGGACAGCAAATTGTTTCCCTACCTAGAGAATAAGATTATGGCTGGGCTGGGAAGGGGACAACGACAACAGCACCACCACAACCCTACACATACAAACTGCAAAGGCCAGACACAAAAACCTCTTAAGATTCAAACCTCATGGAAGGAGGGCACCCTCAGTCCCTCATGGTCTTAAAACTCCCTGCCAAAGGTCTTCGTTCTAACTAGTAAAACCCTAAATTGTTCCTGCTTGGCTGACTGGCTGTCCTTCCATGATACCACAGGGATTTTCAGCATTTCAGGTTTATTGCACCACAGACAGAACAGTAATTCCAAGTTTACTTGAGGACTTTTAGCTTTATATGTCACGACCTGTTTGCTAGACTGATGAAACTGTGAACCTTCAAACAGAATTTAAGATTCTCTAACTTCTCTAGGTTTTTGACTGGTGGGTTAATAACTAAGAAGTCACCTGAAGACAACTTTCTTTTCTTCCTTCCCCAATACACAAAGCCATGTTCACATTTCTGCCTGTTCCAGATTATTTGAGAACAAAGAGCATGACAAGATTTGAAAGTCACTAGCTACGGGAGAATACAGCAGCATATTCATTATTTATTGGCAAAGAAGCTGAAAAACAGTATTTACTTTAGGAATTAAATGAGAGCATTCAGCACAAGCAGTCACAACATAATAAACACAGGGGCTCTGACTGCAGAAATCTCTTCCAAGTATTTGCCAAGCTAGCTTGAAATAAGATTAATTTTGTCACTCCAGAACCTTAAAAAGTATCTATCTATGATGACAGCATATGAAAAAGGCCAGATGGTAAACAACCCTGCAACAACACTATGATGCACAATTTATATTAAAAAAAAAACAACAACAAAAAAAAAAGAAGCAGACCAAAGATCTGTCTAATTAAAGCTTTATTTAGACATTTAGAGTGCTGAATGGCTGAATGTGTGTTAATTCAACACATGGTGGTTCAGGACTCTCACATTTCTATTCAAGGTCATCGCTTAAATTTGTGTGCTGCACCTGTAGCCAAAGAACCAAATCAAACCTGACCTCAAACCCAGTCCATATTATTAAAATTGGACTAGATGTATTACTTTGAACTCCCTGATCAGCTCAAGCCAGATCATAATTTTTCTGATGACCAGTTCATAAGGTTCAAGATAAAACCTGATGTTGCCTACCAATGCCAGTTCAGACAAGAGCGCAATTACATCCACAAGAACATGCAAAGCTGCATCACCTCAGTCTCTCGGTTCCTTCTGTCTTGCTTTTTCTCTCACATATGGAGAACAAGCCCTTATTTTTGTAGCCTGGTGCTATACTCTGCTGTTCTGCAGATCGCACAGGGTTCTATTTTTCAACTGAAGTTTTTGTAGCCACCCAAGCTCAGCTCTATTTCCTGGATAAAGTCCAGCCATAACCTTGATCCTCACTGTTAGAAAGTACTGTGTTGTTATCTCTGTGAATGGTTTCACCCCAGGAAATTCTGTTAGCATACTTCACTGTATAGACATATGCACAAACACATCTGTATCTCCAAGATCTCCACATGCTTTAGTCTCCTTTCTCCTGGTAACACTTCAGGAGAGCAGATGTGGGCTGACATGGTTCTCACTCCTAGAGCCATGCTGAAAAGCAGCTCTTATCAGATCAACTTTACGTGGCCAACCCAGGGAGCAGAAAAAATTCTGTGATATTATGCTCATGCTATTGCTTCAGCAGTGGGAGCCAAAGACAGCAGTGAAAGCCCCTCCTTAGCTGAAGCCCTGTTGTACAGGTTCACTTACTGCCAATAAACCAGCTCAATCTGACATCTTCAAATATTTCCTTGTAAAGATGGCATGAAAGACAGTTACAAAGGTGAGAGTTGTGCTGTTGGGTTTTATTAAAGGCAGCATCCTATTAGAACTAGCTTCATTTAAAATTCAGGGTTATAATTCTTTCTAAATGGCTATTCATATATTCTGTTTCAGAATATAATCAGCACCCTTCTGTATCTACTTTTTTCACTTTAATATGCCTCTTAACTCATACTGAAGACACAGTTCCGCTAACTCAACCCTGTAAATAAGGTTAGCATTTCTATCCCTAATCTCTTATACATTTCTAGCAGTAACTTTTATACTGCTTTAGAAATTAAGCTGTAGGGATAGCAGGAAAAAAAAGAAGAGACCAGATTCTCTCCCAGTTACAGCTATTCTATATCATGCATGGAACAAACAGAATTTTCCTCTGACCAATCATTCAGGCAACACTAGTGTGATAAGCTATTTACTTTACACCATTTATACTCACTACAATAAGTCAAATTGTGGTCAAATATTAAAATACAAGCCTATATGTTAATGAACCCTCATTAAGAAAAATAAGACAGAAATCCACCACTTCTTTCATCTGAAAACAGTCACAGTATTTTTAAGCTGTGAATACAAACTTCAAACAATATCAGCTAGAACATTTTTGTCTTTCAAATCACAGAATCTGCCAACATACAGAGCAACTCCCTGCTCACCTTAAGAATTTTTGCTTACAAGCAATTAATTACTGAAAGTCAATTCTCAATCTGTGTTGTTAATGAGTCTTGGAGTACCAGTTAGATCAATATTGACTTGATAAATCTCCACGCTCATTTGACTAACCCTAGGGTACCATTTATGTCCTCAGAACTGCAAAACCGAGCATGAAATATTTCTACTCCACAACCTTGCATTAGAAGAACTTGCACTACTCTCAGCCACAGACAGAAATAGCACATATAAACTCATCTGTCAAAGCTCTTCAGCTGAGTTTATGCCACAGAAATCACAAATTTTTTGCCACCTTAGTAATGTGCATATATGCATTTCTCTTGTAGGTGAACATGAATCTGTTCTCCCAGAATCAATGGTCAACGCTGTTTTAATTAATAAAAGTGTTAGAAAATCAAAGTCATTTACAGAATGTGTTCCTGTCAGAAAGGTCAGACTGGAGATGGCCAGCAGTGGCAACGTACAAGACAACTCACCATGGCGTACCCACCTGGGAATTCACCGCCTGGTGCAAGGCCCTCGTCAAGGAGTTACCTGGGATCTTTCCCACTGCAAGGACAGTCCGTGCAGTCCTGACAATCAGAGGCTGATTTCACAGGGGAATGGCACATTGCAACACAAGGAGTTAGAAGGAGCAAGAGAACTATCCACGCTCAGTCAGCTGGGAACTTCAAGCATGTTGAACAGTTCCAGCAAAGAGAACGGCAGTAACATTTCAAGCACCTGCCAAAAGCCTCCTCTGACATCAGCTACTTCAACCACGTGGACACATCAACATACTACTACTACAAAATGCATGCCAGCCTGCAACAAACTAAACTTTTACCCTTTCCCCAATAAAAAAGGACCGAGAATTTCTGAAGCAGCAAGGAGGCTTGGATTATATGTCTCACAATGAAGATATTCAGTAAGAAATAAAAATCAGTCAAAAACTTCTCTAAAACTTAAAATAGCAAAATAGTCTTCCTAGTTACACTGATCAACATGCTGAAGGTCTAGTAATCCTATTAGCCAAGGACGATCCTTGCTATATAATCTGATATTTTACTGTACAGTGTAAAATGAGATGTTCTCATGAAGATGCTGGGCTGCAATGACAGATACTCACTTCTGTTATTCAAGATATCAAGAGCAATGTTACCTTTTATTTTTCCTTCCTTATTTTCAGGTTACTGATTTTAGAAATGAAGATTTTATCACAGCAATATTTGAAATATCTCAAATAGCTACAGCAAAGACTAGTAGAACTACTGATGAAGCAACTAGTACCATACTGAAATTTAGTCTATTTAATTAGACAGTAAACAAGTAATAAATGAAACAGTATTGACGGTGTTTGGTACATTTAACATGATTTCACAGTTCACTTTCCTCAAAAAAATATATTTATGATAGTTTCTGATGTGTGTATTTTTAAAACCAACGAATAAAACCTCTGCCCATTTCTATTGTTTTTTTTAATGGGACTTAGTAAATGTCACCTTTTTCTTATATATAAATTCTGTAATAACATATTTTTGGCTCCCATCTATCCCCATTATTTCATCAGAAAACAAAAGTCTCAAATAATTACTTAGCTCCCCAGTACCGTATATAAGGAATGCACCTTCCTTACCGCAAGTATAACGCATCTTTCTGCTGTTATAACTGTATGCACACAAAGGGGATACAACCATTTCAACTACACAAATATAACTGTGGTAGTACAACTATTTTTTATAGACAGAGTTTAACATTTTCTCTTGTGGCACAACTGCAACACAAAGCTTTGGAAGCTTTTAAAAGTGAGTAGCTACTGCTGGTCTGCCCTCCTGCAACATATCTAGAAGAAGGAGACCCTCTTTTGCAGATGCTTTTCAATGACAAAACCACAAGTTACATATCATCCACTCCTGGCTGGAACTATTCAAACAGCTCTCTTAAATGTAGGCTTCTGGAAAATTGAAGACTTTAAATGTCTTCCCATTTCATGATTACTTTAATTCCGGCTATACTTCCAGTAGCCACTAGCCCTTTTGAAACATTCCGTATTTATTGGAGCTCTGTAAGGACAGCAAAATGAGGATCAGGTGGATGGCCCATAAAGCTCTTCATGATCCCTGCAAAGAGTCTGGAAGCACACATCTCTGGTTACCACCACTGTCTCAAAATCAGACCATCCACACACAAAAAAAAGCGAGCAAAAAAAGATGCCAAAGATGCTCATCTGTGGATTATGTCCTTCTAGACACAAACTCTTCTTAGCAAGAAAGATAAACTATGTCCTCATAAGATATCTTGAAGAGTTAATACCTATGTGCAAATGAAAGCCTATTGTCAAAGAGACAGCATTCATCCATTTCTAAGAGAAACTACCATTTTCTTTTCATCCAATACAACTTCAAGCCATTAATCCTTCATACAATTCCAATGACTTGTGGTGCTTGATGGAGGATACTACATCAGAGATGGCTGCACAGATTTGTCAGAGCCTATGCTTCCATTGCAGGAGAGATGCAACTGTAAGTGTACCACAGTACTTCATTAGGTCCACAAAATTAAAACAAAAATTATCATGGAATATAATTCTACTTTACTCCCTTTGGCCAAACGTCATTTCCTCTCTGCTGCTCAACAATTTCAGACCCAAACTCTGTAGTGTCTCACACAGATCCAGCAACCACCAGCAGGTAAGCAGGCACCTTGTCTCCTGGAAGTGACTGTCCTTAAAATAGTGCTGCAAAACAGTAGCTAGTAGCAATAGCAATGAGTATGCCACAGTAACTCCTGAAGAATTTTCCGCTCGTCCTCAGCAAAAGCAGCAGAATGAAGACAGGTTATTTGTGATTTTCCACATTTTCTAGTGTTTTCAATTAACTGGCTTGGCCAGATTAGCTTCCATCTCAGATGGCGATTTCTATTTCTGGGTAGACATGACACATTAATAAGCAATCATACCTGACTTCTTTTGGTTTTCACAATAGTTACAGTATTTAAGGGAAGATTGGAAAAAAAATAAAAAGATAAAACACAGATATCTGTAATAGGTATAGGTATAATAGGGAGAAAATACCAGATAACAACCAGCCTCTATGAAGTAAGGGAACTTGGAAGGAAATATCAACGAGCAATTAATTTTTTTAATCATGTGGTATACATTAGCTTTCTATTTACTTGTCTTGCTGATTAGAGAGTATACTAATTTGTACACCTGACTATCATTATACTGGAGTGTTATTTTCGTTTATCTCCAAGTCTGTATACCACATAAAGCTAAAGGAATAACTGAAAGAAAAATCACACGTTAGCAAGAGGCCACTATTAAAACTATTCAAAAAATAATTCAAGATCATTTTGCCTTAATATTTCCAACAATACACTTGAGAAAATTTCAGCAAATGCAACTCAAAATTTTTAGTCTTTTAAATCAACATCATAGAAAGTTTATAACCTTATCTAGCCACCTACCTACTCTGTAAACCCATTTGAACTAAATTACTGATTTTACTTTCTGCAAACACTTAAATTGATTTAAAAGTGCTTTGAATTAGTTATCTTAATTAAACATGGACCTTGAATACCTTGATTTAAAACTCAGTGCAGGTTTATACATGGACTAAGTAACTAACTCCTTTGCAAGCACTTTCATATAAATATTTTGTCCTTTCCTAAGGCTTCTCCAGCATATTACTATGCTTTGTACTGACTAAAACTTATTTAGAAAAAGTGTTTTGCCTTTAGGAAAGTCTTTCAATTTAATTCCCAAGAGCATTATGAAAGAACAATATCAGTAAATTTTGATTTGTTAGTGGAGTAGTTTTAGTTATGGGAAAATTTGCTATACTTATAAGAGACTGAAATATTACACAGGCACATTGTCTAATTAGAAAATTTTTTTCCTAAAGCAGCTGTAGTAAAAATGAAACAGTGAAGCGTGAGAAAAAAAAAAAAGTGAAAACTTCAAATATTAGAAGGTCCCTGTTCTCAATTGTGCCTGATTTTCAAAACCCTTTAGTGGTAACTTTTTCACGTTTAGCAATTGTGGGACAGTAACTTTTAGTACTCTGTTACCATACCTTTATCTAAGTTTCAAGCACTGAACTCAAATTGACATAAAAGCAAGTTTACTCTTATCAGCAGGCAAACTTGACTGATCTGTGCACATAGGGGAGCCTGGAATCCTGCAATTCTAGTTCAGTGCTGTGTTCACAAGTTCATGACACCTGTGAGGTTCCCATTTTCAAAGCTGCAGTATGCAGCACCCCCACTTTGTGTGACTGCCTAAGGCAAATGCTTAAGAACAGTCCTGCAGGCCCATCCATTCTAGAATAAATAATACTCCAGTGCAATGATTTCAATGGCACATCAGAGCAGTTAGAATAAAATCCCTTTCCTGCTGCAACAGCTGGTCACATGAAGAATTAACCCACAAGTCAATTATTTCTGGTGTAATTCACTGGAAGAACACTTATGTCTTTTACAGGCACCAGAGATATTCCAGGGACAAGCCCCAACCCTTTGAGGATCTCACATACAAACACAACATTGAGCAGTCTACACTGTACAGCCAAATGACTTTGTAGCCTCATACCCTACTCTCACTCTAGGCTATTAAAGCACTATGTCACTAGAAGTAACACTCCAGCAACACCTCAGCTTGAAGCGGTGTTTAGTACCAAATTATTCCCCCTACCATGTACTTTTACAGCCCAGCCTCTGATTCCGGGTTAAATTTCAGTAGCCCCACAATAAGATGATGCCCACCATCCCTGATGGGAAAATATCGGCCCATAGACAAAAGCTTACCCTCAACACTGTAGCCCTCAGTGAGCACAACAAAAAATCACAGTCAGCCTGCCTCGTCCCTTTCACAGCACCATAGCCTTTTCAGAAATACTCCCTCTCAGCACTGACGGGAATTTCAGCCCCTATTTACCTCACTAACAGGCTGCAAGCGCACTCAACCTCTCCCAAACCCTGGCCCCCTCCTGGGAGGATCACCCATGTGGCCAAGCACCTGGGGGATCACCGCCACACACCACCCCACGCCAGGGGACAAGCAGACCAGGCAAACCTAGAAGGCAGTATGGGAGCAGCAGCGCCTACCACCCAGCCACAGCAAACTCACAAACGCCTGAGGGCCCCCAAGTGAGGGCAGGGCGCTAAGATGGCGGCTGGAGCACGGCCTCAACCACGTGACGCGGACACAAACGCCCGCCCCCCGCTTCGCCTGCGCCTTCTGGGCTTCCGTAGGAACCTACTTCCCCCCCCCCCCCCCCGCCAGGCAATAAACGGCCCGTGTGACACGCGCGCGCAGCCCCCGCCCCGCCCCGCCCCGCCCCGCCCCGCCCCCTGCGCTCGCCCCGCCTACCCCCAGGAGGCGAGCGGCGGCCGCGCAGGTAAGGGCGCGAGCGCGCGGCGGGGGCGGGGCTTGCCGCTCGCCCCGCCCCTCCCCTCGTCCTCTTCCTCGGCCGCCGCCCTGGCGCCTCTTTTCCCTAAGCGAGGGCGGCCCCGCCGCGGCTGGCTGCGTGTGGGCCCGATCTCCCCTCAGAGGCTGCCCCAGGCTCGGCCTCGCTGCTGCGGGCCGCAGGTGGGTGCCCGAGGGCCGTGGCGGCGGGAGCCCTCTCCCCGCGGTGCCCCCCCCCACCCCCAGCCTGCCCGCTCCCCGCCCGATCGGAACCGGAGGCCGGTTGCATCAGCTCCGCCGCCGCCGTGGGAGGCTCCAGCTGCCGGGTCGCCTGAATGCGCCCCGGCCGCCCTGATTTGGAGGCGCCGGGGAAGGGCGGCGACTCCGTGGCCGTGCTTAAAACGCGCTGGTGGCACTGGTGACTTGGCGCAGTCGTGGTAGGGGAGAGACGGGGTGTGCACCCGGGGAGGCCTAAGGACACCCCGGGCAGGGCCTGGCAGCGTTTGAGTCTCCATCCTTTCCTTGAGCTTCTGGCTCGTGGTTTGGCACATGATGCTGCTGCAGTCTCTTACCCCTGCTTTAGCCATGGAGGGATGTGTCATAGTTGTGCCAGGTAGCTTTCCTCCTTGTCTTCAGGAAAAATTAATGCATACTGCTTTATTAGTAAGCCATTCTGAGAATCTTCAGTTCCTTCCATCAAAAATTTGGCTTTTGAACCTTATTTCTGTGATTGTTTTCCATTATGTCATATATAAGACTAACTGGCTTTAGAGGATGACATTTTAGTTACAGAAACTCAGTCTTGCAGTCAACATGGCCCATGGGAAATACCCCTGATTACTCAAATGAGTTCTGAGAGGGTCTCTTTAATCTCTTGCTGAAAGTGAAACCGTGTCAGGAGCACTTGTGGTGTTGGCTGATAGAAAGTCAGTCATAAATGTTTTTGCTAAGGATTCTCTTGCA